AGTGTGATATAATTTAGCAACACAGCCAAATGGAAGACATTTCATGAACTAGATATGGAGCCCTATGCAAGGACATATGTGCCGTCATCAAAAGTCCACAATGCAATTAGCATCAGATTCGTTGTTAATGTCAAAGCAAACAGAGGGAAGCCAAAGGGCCATGAGCTGAGCTTAAGCTATGGCTCTGAACAGCTGATGCCGTAGGCTCACCCGTAGAAGAGACCACAGAGCTCGCGGGAGCGTGATGGATCAATCCATACGTCGCAGGGCGACAGTGCGTAGGAAGTCGGCGTCGCGCCTTGAGTTTGGCAAACTCGAATCGAAGATGGCATTCTACGCGATCTTCCACTTCCTTGTGGCTCCGCTGTTAGCTGGACAGCGAGGAAAGCTTCCGGTGCTGCTGCACCTGTCGCTTTAAAGGGATTTTCATCATCTGCAGCGATTTCGCCAGGAGCGAGTACTACAGCAATTGTCCGCATTGTGGTTACAGGAGCGCCTCCATTTTGAGCTCATGGTCGTGCGCAATACCTATCCATTGGGAATTCATGAGGTACCAAGAAGCGAGCACGGAGAGCTTTTCATTGGTCAAGCTTAGCTTGTGCGTAGGCCGAGGGCCCGACCACGTAGACGCCCAGCGATCGATAGGTCATGTCATTCGCTTCAGTAGCTGGGTCCGCCGAGTGGAAGCTGTATTCCACACGAGGGTCTAGGACCGGCCGTGGATGCGCGCGCATTGCCTCCCCGCGGGCAGCCTCCAGCTGCTGCTTATGTACCTCGTCGAGGCGATTGGTAATGATACCACTTCCCCCAGAAGTTGATGGCTGAGAGACGGACACGGTGTCTGCAAGTTTCGAGCTGAGCTCATGACGCGCCGCTGGCGCTCCTCGCCCTCCTCTTTTTTCCATTCGATGTGTCAAGTACAAGTAGGCTCAAGGCAAGCTATTGGTTCTAGTAAGCTTCATGGCTGACGAGATCAATGTAACCAAGCCCATGGGGGTGCGATACACTCAATCAGATGTCGGGTATATAACCAAGTTCTATCGGTGCCATCAATTTACCGAGATTTGTAAGGCCACAGATAGCCCTCATAGAATTAAAGCGTCATGCAGACATGTTTGAAGCCATCCTTCCGGTATCACCTAGAAATATGCTCTTAGTGCGATTACTCTATACGCGTGTTTTGCGAAGAAGACTCACGTTAAGAGGTTGAATAATTCCCCGCCAAAACTTGCAGATTTTGATCAAGTTGAGAACTGTCTGGTCATTCACATGGTTGTGAGATAAAATCTCATATAATTATGATCTGGCTGGAATATCATGAGTCATATCTTTATAAAGTTAGAAACATCATGTACCGCGTACATCCCGCCCTGAGACTTTGATGAGTAATGTACTTACTTTTGCTAAGAAGTAGAAACGCTTTTCACGTGGGTCCAAAGCTACGGTAGCTTTGATACAAGGGATCGGACCCATTGAACTGTGCTGCCAGGAGCCTTGAGCAAAATTTGGAAGGCAAGGCTGACTGCAATCTGCAGTCGATAAGATCTATCTCCTTGTATCGAGTGTATGTTGCAGTCTTCCAAATCTTTATCCGCTGAGGCGAACGTTAGAAATCAAGAGTCGCGCTTTTAAGGGTATATCCCTGTAAGAACATATAATAAGATGTGAGACACAACGCAATATGTTGGACGAAAAGAACAACTGTATGTCGCGAAATTATAAGCTGTTGGGATGACTCAAAGATATTCCAGGTTAAACTTGAGAAAAGTCAACAATAGTGAGTCGCGAGTAGAAGGGACAGACTCTGAAGATTTGCAGCACCGTCCGTTATTAAGACAGTTTGATGGTCTTACTGGGTAAATAACAACGATAAATGTTTTCAGTGTGCAAAATGCTGAAGCGTCACAAATTTCTGACCAACATGTGCATACACTCGATGGTGGAGTGACTTCATCTTGCCAAGTTTGCGCAGAAATAATATGATCGACGTAAATTTTTGCGATGCTTACGATAGTAGCTACTCGATGTGCCATCTTTTGGTGGAAATCTATAAGTGACTCTGACCATATATACCAGGAATGGCAAAGGTTGGGTTATTCGGGCTTGAGTTTTTAGGTTTTATCACAAAACTCTGTTTATTATTTTTATCTGAAACGTTTGGGTTTAAAGGGTTTAATGAAACACAGACAGATTCGAAGCCAAACGCAGCTTCGTCACGGACTTTACAGTCTGTTCTCTGCCAGTTTCCTCCGTTCTTGAGTTCTTGGCATCATCGCAGCGGCTGGTAGCCTGGTACTCGCTTAACGGCTTGAGTTCTGAAAGACCTTAACCAAGCATATGTCTCCGTCAATCTTACCCTTGATGGGTCCGCAGTCAAACTTGCTAGGGAGTAATGTCATTCATCTGGGCAAAAAAATAACGCTTAAGGTTAGCTTGATGATCTATAGTCAGTTAAGCAAGGCGCGACTCAGTGCGCTTCAGCGGGGATGCCGTAGCTTAGCGTATGAGAAAGCGTAATTTAAGCCACCGATCTTTCGTTCTATACTCAGAGCAAGTACGAGTTAGCGAATCGCAATCCGCTTACTCCAAGAGTAGTTATTGCCTTACCCAAAGCTAATTAGCACTTCTGCTCAAAATCCAAAACTGATCTTTATTTATTTTTATCTGCAGCAAAGCCGCCTAATTGTAAATGCTGAGATTTTCCAAATAGACTTTATATATGTAGTAGAATCTAAATACACGCATGACTACTGGCTACCTAGCCCCCTACCGTATTCTTGTTTGAATGTGGTCACACCATGCACATCTGGTGTGACAAACACATCTGTTACCAGGGTGCGTGTAACCCCATTACAGCGCTGGTCATGACGACGGTCGCAGTCCTCATTATGGCTAATGGTCCCAAATCCTGGAGAACCTTTGCGGCTGCGATATTAGTAACGTCGCTAGCAGCAGCCTCAGCTCGTTGGCGCTACAGCAGTCCTGCTATAAAATGGAAGTTGTTGACGATTACATTAATTTACTGACTTCTTTCAGCCACAGAAACAGAGTCTGCTACCTGAAAATACTGCAAAGCCTGCATCACCTATCGACCTAATTCGGAACGTGGTAGAGCACATCCGAGCAAATGTAATCCGCTTTGAAGTCCATGATGTTGCTGGAGGTTGCTGAGTTGATGTCCCGTATGGTTTGTCCCTTCGCGTTCGAAAAAGAGAAAAATGTGGATCAATCATAATTCACTCGGCAGACAAATGTCAGTCTTATTTACACATTTACATGCTATTGATCTCTCTGGAAAGGGACAAGATAATTGTGGAGCGATAACCGATAATACTACCACCAACAAATTGGCATGGAAATTGATGTGGTTTGAATATTTCGGAATGTTCTTTTAAGGGTATGTGAACTCCGACCTGGACTAACCTACGAAAGATATATTTGTAGTCACCAAAGCCAAGCGAGGGAGAGCTGTCGTAGACTATCATGATGGTTGCCCATTCGAGTATTTGCTCGCATTCGCTTCTGACTGCAAAGAAGTCGTATCTTCTGATTCATATCACCACCAAGTATGTCAAGGCAAAGCTTTTAAAAAAACAAAAGGTCAGAAAGTGGCGGCATTAATTTAAGCTGCCGCCACAAATACGGGCACAATTATCCCACAAACAGAGCCAGCCTGCAAGACACTTCCTCAGCTGGAAATAGTAAAGTTATTCTTTACAGTATTGTTACAGCTCGAATTTAATTCTGTAACAGTCACAATGAAAGCAAGTGCTCAGAAGGTGTTTGATATCATTTCCAATGCAAATATCCTGTGAGAAGTTTAGAAAAAGATTGGTATTCAAGAGCCGATTGACAAAGAAAATACCAAACACTAAAAAAATTGTATCAGTTTTGAAGTACTGCGCATCGAAATTCGACGTTTCACAATGATCTGAAGGTTTAACATATTAGAACCTGAAAAAAAGACATATCTACTGCAATTGGCTCAAGTGCGACTTGATTTCTTGTAAGGCAACGTGAAGGGAATAACTTATATTCTGGGTCCACGCTATCTGAGATGCAATGACTATGGAAAAAAGAAAAATTGTTGAATGATCGTTGATTGATTCAGTTGCAGATGAAGCACGCGAGGCAATATATACATAACATGTCCAGTTTCAGGTCAACGCATATAAGGACCGTGAAGAAAACGACTTTCGGTAAAAAATGTTGTTGAAGTAGTCTAAAACTGTTCTCAAATACTGGCTGATCAATGAAACCCTTTCCTTCAAAATGCTGTCATCAAGAGTTTTAGTTTAGTTACGTCAAGTGCCACGTCTGAAAGAAACTTCTCAACTGCTGATATCATTTTTTTAGAGTTGCGGATATCATGAAAGAACGGAAGTGTTAACCCGTTGTTTTCATCACGATCAACACTCCTCAGGTCTGCGGGCTGCTGCAGGCTTCTGATTATGGTTATTTTGATGAAGAAGGATATCAGGATAGTTAGATCGATAACGAAAAATCTATCGGCGATGAAGAATGTCATCGGAAATTGTTCCTTGTATAGAACGTAAGATCGGTGACCTTTGCTTAGCTTCCTCTAAGCAAAGTACTACGGCGGCCTCGCTGCAGCAAGTGCATGATACACTTACTCGGAGAACAAACGCCTGTTTTAAGTAATTCAATAACCTACCAGGCTCTGCAATGGATAGCGTGATGTGTTCAAGGTACTGCATCTAATTTCCTCATTAGACACACCGGTACGAATAGTGATTAATTAACCGTTAAACTGAATGTATTTGTCATTCTTCGAGCTTCATATCGATTTATGGCGTATTGGGGTTTGACGAACCGCTTTATCAGGCGAAGGGATAAGCTTCGCAAGCTAAATATATGCAGTCTTATATAAGCAGCTCAGTACTTGGTGTATTTCATGTGTTGAATCAGGTAGTCCCAGTATTCGTATGGATCAGAAGCTGACATAATTTGAGTGCCTACAGAGAAATAAGTCGCACGCTATGGAGCAGGCATCGCCACAAGATGCTTGCGAGGTTTGAGAAAAGAAATATGCTGAATATCAGCCGGAGTAGACACGCTTTTCTGATAGTGCAGATGGATGCGGCCGGCTCTTGCATGCACAATGTAAGCTGTTAAAAGAACATTTTGTCGATGCTTAAGGTCTGCACAATGTTTGATGATTATTTCATGATGTAATAAATGTGTTCGTGTTTTTGCTTCTGAAGTGAATATTTACAGCTCGCTCTTAAATACCCAAAGACTAATGATCCGGTTTGAAAATTTGAATGAAATCAAGTGCCTCACCGAGGAGATCTCAGCACTATTTTGCAAAGCAGATCTAGCACTCAAAAGAAACACTGGTACTTGTGCTAGAGGAAGGCCAAGCTTTTCACAACCAGATCGTTTTGTCCGCTAGAATACACAGCGAGCTATTGCCGGTCGACTAAAAGGAATTTCTACACAGTTTCGAGCAAAAAAGCTCAAGTACTTCTAGCACTTTCAGCTGCGAAGTTTTGGGGGCAAAATATTTGAGGATGAATCTATGAAAAGGGGACAATGCATATGGGCGAGAGCTGTCGACTTGACGGTAAGGCCACTGCAATTGCAATCGTTTGCACCGAATATATTCGGACGAGATTAGAAAAGTGTGAGATCGGTTGCGACGCTAGCAACTATATGTAAGGAGGTAGCAGAGATGGTTATCCACAATGGTACGCCTTCTTCTCTTTTCTTTTCTTTTCTTTTTTCCTCTGGCGACAGGATTGACTACAACATAGAGCAGATAAAGCTGTGAAATTAGTCTCTCCATTCATGTATTCGTGCGGATCATCTTGGTTGTTGGAGAAGTACGCTCGGGCATTGTCCAGCTTAATTGAGCGGACAATTACCAACGCAACACGAGACCAGAGCGCTGAATATTTCGTACTTCTGGCACTGATATGGTTGTGCTGCCTTATTCTCGTTATAAAGCATTCGTAAAATGCACATCGTGACATATAAAATCAACAAAAGCGTAGTGTGTCGGTTCCATTACAGAGTAGTTCTCGGGCTCCCATATCGCAGCGTATAGCTTTTTAAAGGACAACAGCAATTACGGAAATGTTGTGACTAGCTTGCTGCCCACCGCTACAGTGATGCGGCTATTAATGTGCACCCTAGCTAGTCCAGAATGTGTTATGTTCAATTGGGATTTTATAGGTAGCTCACCAATAGAACTGTCCACAAGTTATGGTATCTGATTATTGGTGCTCTCTTAACTGTCCAGCCAGTTTCGTTTCTCCTTTGATTATGTGACACTATCCGAAGGATGGATACAACACTTGAGTGAGAATGCAAAAGGGCCTTAGATTCGTTAAATTTTAAAATTGCACTGGATGATGTTGACGTTGTAAAGAGCTTGATTCATGAGCATCGTTAACACATTTTGAGGCCGCTGCACTCGGGAGATAAACTTTGAAATGGCAAGTTATTAGGGATGGTATCTGACCTACGAATCTGTGCACCTTTTTTGAGCAACCGAGACACAAACTTTACACATTTTAACAGAATGATCCAATTGTGACGTAAACTGTAAGCATTGTCCAGAAATAGGTCGTTATCATTTCAAATTTCAACATACATCGAATGTAATGCAGTAGTTTGACTAAAAAAAGTGTACAATCAAGAAATCGAGCATGGAATTTTCCGGTGGCTTAGATTTCTGTTCCCTTATATACATTCCAGACCAAAATCTTCTTCGCAATACTGCTGAGTCCTTACCGGTATCATTTCCGGTACTGCGCTGTTCATTACGTTATACGTCCGATCATTGACACCAACTTCCAGATTACTGCCAACTAATGTATGTCGTTTCCTGAAAAGTCACGCCTGAGCACTGCATCACCTTACTAGACCTGTCGACGCTCAAGATGAAATCATGTAAAACTATGGGTCCATTGGTCGCGCGATGTGGGTCCGGCTGTTTCTTACACTTCGGCAGGCGCAAGGTACATAGTAGTGTATGGAATCGCACTTTATCAAGAAAAGTTCAGCCAGTAGAATCCTTTTTCATGGATGCGAGAAGGTGATGACGTGGTGCAGAGCATTATCAATTTCTGGCTCGAGAAAGATAGTAATTGTCAGGAGAAGTGGCTACGATTAAAACCGGAGCAACGATTACATGTTCTGGCATCTATCGAACTGAATGTCAAACACTGACGCATCATCAAATAAATAGATCATCACGGGTCATGGTTTAGTATTTGACATGCATAAAGGTCAAATGGAAGGTGCTTCATTTGAATATGGGCTGCTATCGTTGCACAATCAGGGTAGAGCCTAAGACACACTATCTCCGCAGCATCATTCGCAGCTTAAGCGACTAGTAAGTTACTGATTGTTCTCACGAAATCGTCATTAAGTTGTATGTCCGTGGTCATGCACGGCGCCCAATACCCGCAACTTTCTCAACAACATTTTTGTCCGCAAATTCCAGAATCATCGATGCTGCCGAAACTTATCAGCTTCACCCACACGGTAGTAAGAATCTTATGAAGAAAACCCTTTGCACGACAGCTTACAAAATGCTGTATACTCTACTCATCCGACTATGTTTGTTGTAAACATTTGCTTTCGAAACAATAGCTCGATCTCGCTACCAACTTTCGTCAAATTTCGAAGGTGCCGCTGTTGGATTGACTTGTGTTGTTGTAGATGTATTGCAACGCGATGGTCGATGTTTTGCAGGTGAATCGTAAGAGCTAAATGAATCCTAAATACAATAGCGCTTGCTACTAACTTAAAAAGCGATCGCGTTGAACTTACAACAATTTTGCTCTTAGTTTGGTGATGACTTACATTGATACCAAGTATTACAGCATTACTCTTTCAAGAACAGTGGCACCTCAAATGATTCCAGTAACTTATTTCACACTTCAATTCAGAACTATTTTGACATTCTTGAGATTCAAATGCTAGCAAAGCAGTCGGAACATTGCAAAGCAATTCAACGCCTCTCCCAAGTCTTGAATTCAGTGAAACTTGACGTGAACGTTATATATGGATGTTTCCATGAGCAGATCATTACTCTTAGCTTCAATAATAT